CGTGTAACCATAAGGACCTCCTTTCATTTGTCAGTGCAGGTTGACATCGTCAAGGAAGTTAAATAACTTTCAGAAAACCACATGTGTGCAGATAAAGCTTCTCTTACAATTTCAGGTACTTTTGCCTTACATCACTTGTAAATGCTTTGTTTTCATGGTGTAGCTTAATGATACCTAATTTTCTTTGAACATTATTACTATAAAAGAAAATAAAAGACATTTTCACAAACTCTCTCTTAAATGTGCTGTTCTCCTTTTCAAAATTCCTACATTATCAAAAAGAAAAGAATGCCCCTTCGAAATGCAGTGAGCAGTTATTACGGACCTTTTATCATTGTTGTGCACATTCGTTATATGTTCGTGCAGCCGCTTTCAAAGTTTTCTGCTTGCTCTGTCCTGTATAGCAAAGGCCACAATATCGACAATTAATTTCATAGACGATATAGGGCTTTTTCTTCTTCTCAGTGGAATCCTTACCCAGTTTGACAATGTATGTGAATCTGTTTGACGCAGTACATACCATTTTCAACTTGTACTAGGAATAAATACCCCTGTCTCTTATTCCCAAGTCACAAAGCAAAGAAACAATAAGTAAAAGGGCTATAATGTGATTCACCTCACAATTTTTTAATTAATTTGTGTGGCGACCATATGGACCCAGAAGAAAACAACAAAAAAGATTCGTTCCTCAGTCCATGGCAATTGTTTAAAAAACTCTCTTTAGAGTCTTTTGAGTTCTTAAATTTAAATTTGCCATCGGATAATTTGAAAACTTTGTCAACTTAATAAAAAACTATGGCTCGCTTTTGAAAACCCGGATTATGTGAAAAAAAGTTTTTAATTGAGTCAGGTTTTTTATATAAATCAAAAGAATAAACAGAACCAAGTCAACAAAATAATAAGATCTCTGGAAATGGTACGGAGCATTGTCGTTTTCCTCAAAAGTTAATTGATTAAATCTATTGTACATATTATAATTTTTTAATGTTGATTGTAAAGAATTTTTTTTTATAATCAAAACACAATAATCGGCGTAGTGTCTATAATAAGGAACGAATTCATGAAACTTGGGAAGAACCTCATCCTCAAGAGCTTTGTAAATGATCTTTGCAAACCTAGGAGAACTGCAAACACCCATTAGTGTACTGCAGTACTGCCTATATGTTCTTCCATTAAAAACAAAATGATTGGAGTTAAAGAGGAAAGTCTAACCCTCAATAAATTTTGAAGTACTGATTCCAAAAATCTGAAGAATATTTTTCAACTTTTTTCTTACACTTTTCAATATTAAGCCAAACAAATCTTTTAATTTTCTAATCTATTTTTAAGTATAAACAAATGTCTATAAGAATCCCATTGTTCAATATTAACAATTCTTATCTTTGTGCAAAAATATTATTAATTTGTTGTTTAGTAGAAAAGTCTATTTTTAACATCAGAAAATTTAATTTAAAAAAAAAATTGTTTATATGGAAAAATTTCATAAAATCTACATCTAAGTTATAGTGTTCTTCTACATCTTTCCTGCAGATATCTTTCATGTAACAATAAAGTGTTTACTTAAATTTAATTTGCACGGTTGAGATAAACTGTAAGTATCAAAAAAAAATAGTGATGCAGTGTACAAAACATCTAATTTGAAACAAGAAACAATTAACTTTAAATCAACACTGTAAAATTGTACATCTTGTGTAAAATCCATATCCACTAATATACGTAACAGTTTAGTCGCCTTGCAGTACTCACAGCTTAAAATCTTCAGAACTTACGACTTGCTTTTACTGTCAAAGTAGTTAGATTATAAATAAATAAAATACAAGTAGTCGTCCAGAGCAGGACTATTTCTTGTAAAAATTTATAGTTGTTCAATTTTTCGGCAAATCTCACTGCGATCTTCAGCGACATCTTACTGCACAAAAATTTATTGATGACAAAAAATATTTTATAAAAATAAATTAAAAGTAAAAAATATGTTATAACAATAACAGTAATGTCTTGCTATACGTAAACACGTTCGCAAAATAATCGAATGCACTGCTTCCGCTATAAAGGCATAAAATGACCTAGGTGTACACTATTCCCTCATTAACTAACAGCATCATGCCTACGACTTATAATAAATATACTTATTCTTCAAATAACTAAATTTGTAATCATACAAAAAGGAACATAAAAACCTATTGCAGTGTATGTTATGTGATACATAAAAAAGTTGATAACTCTGACAACAAAATTTACATTAAAATAAAATTTAAATTTTAATTAAAATTTACATTCACATTTAAATTTACAATTTTTAAACAATAAGCAAGGCTAAAACTGACCAAACTATAAAAGTAAAATGTGTAAGCTAAAATAATAACGCGAAAGAAAAGAGCGTGCTCTGCATGCCAACCCCTCCCACTAGATAATGATGTTATATTTTTAACTAATTCTTTTATTTTCAAGATACTTAAATGTAATTAGTAATGTAATTTTTTCAATAAGTAAAATAATACATTTTTCAAGTTGTTTTATCAATATTTTGTGCACTAAAAGTAAAACTCAATTAATATATTAAATAAAATGACTCAAATGCAACTGAACTGAATTTAAGTTTCTTTACTTTGTATTGCTGTCCAACAATTCTTTACAGAATTCAACCATATTTTAGGGGTTGGCTGGGGGCAGAGTTGGTTAGAGTGGGCAAGTGTACAATGACTGATCAAAATCACTGTCTGTTAAAGGTGTTTGTTGTGACGGAAATTTTTCAGCCGGTAATAGCTATCCTGATATCCTGTCACAAAACTCTCTTGCACGTTACTTACTTAGTCCCTACACACTGGATACCTCTCTTCCAGGAAGTCTGACACAGGTGTCCGGCTCGGGAAGGTCAAACACTCTTAGAAAAACATTTAAAAAAGGACAAAAGAAGGCACTAACTACGAAGAAACACAATCACTGACATAAATTTTACATCGCGTCCACACTATTTATTCGTCCTCTACACACTCTCGAAAATTACACACTTTCTCTCTCTCTCTCACTCTCTGTATATAGGAAGGAAAAAAAATATACATAGATGCGTGTGAGTGTGTGCGCGCACGTATGTGTGTCAGCACTTTGCTGTCGAGGTAGGTGCACACTGCTCCTGAACGTCTCCTTGGCTGGATTATCGGTGGCCAGAACCTGTATCACGCACCCATTCATACGTAATCTCAATCTCACCACGTAATAAAGATTCTATTTCTGCGATTGTTTCACCAACTACATAAAAATTCCAGTGACACTCCTACTTTTGCCTACGCATTTTATCATATCCTCACACATCCACACATCTATGCTTCTCTCTCTTCTCTCTATCCTTACAGAAACACCCACCACTACAGAATCACCCACTCGGATCGTCCTGAACACTTTTTCCCGCATACGACCCAGTGCACTGTTCACATTACACTTACCTTGTTACTATCTGTAACTCGTCCAAATCGTCGCGGTGACCATGCTGCACGGTTGACCTTGGGTGATTCTCTCTGCTGCTCTTCTCGTTAATTTCTTTCACTATCCTCTACTTTAATCTTCGCTACATTAAATCTCTTTCATAATCTCTCTCTACAGAATCTCTTTCTCTACGCTATTATCTCCTACATCTGATACTATCTACTCTAATTCACTATTTCCCATACGCTTTCTCTGTAATGTCATAGCTCTCACTCATACACTCTGCTCTCTCTGATGCCTGATGCTATACTGACAATGCTATGCAATCGGCCTGCACAGGTACGCGCGCCTCTTCCTTTGCATCTGAAAACTTCCAACGCTCGTAAAAACCAGTAAATAGTTAGAGGTGTTAAAAACTAAGTCTTTAAGGCAACGACCCAGCCCTTGGTTAGTTCAAGACGCGTTGCAAGCTTCTCTACATTTTCGCTTACCCTCTTACACACACATCCCAATCCAATCATACTTCACACATATTCAACTCTTCTTATTGTCTTCGATCCTTCTGTTTTCTCATGGCTCGTAGTCCGTGGCAACGAGAACACACATTAAGTAATGTATTAATAAGATAGTATTAAGTATTTGTGGCTATAATCACTTTGATTGATTAAGATAAGTTTCACTCAAAAAAGTCTTGCTTAAGATCGAGATGAAGACAGTCAAACTGCTTGTTTTTGGATTTTCTACAAGCAAGCCCACTAATTCGCAAATTGTATGTATGTAGATGTTTGTAATTTCACTTGCAGAAAGTTAAATGTCTTATTAGCACTAGAAAATATCAGTTGGTAATAAATGTACGTTATAAATTAGTTTTAGTAAAATGATATTAATATCTCTTTTCATTATACATTTTAAATTATTAATAACTAAATTAACAATTTTTGTAAATAAAGTTGTTTATACTTAAGGAAGAACAAATATTTAATAACTTTTATGTAGCCTAACATTGTTTTTTTTTAATTTTTATAGAAAGATATAGATTTGTTGTTTTCTTTACTGTCTTTAAATAGCTCGTTTTATTTTTTTGATCGAAAATAGCAAGTATTATAGAAGCGGAGCTGAGTCATTTGTTTCGATTAAAGTTTTAATTTATGAAAAATGATTGTATTAAAGTGATTGCAGGCTGTATTCTAAGTTTTTACCCACTGTAATAATCGCGTGAGAATAGTTTGGAATAAGATTATTGATTTAAATGCAATGATTTTTTGGAGTAGTTTAGACGCGTTTACTGATTCAAGAAATGTTTTTTCTAATCATTTTACGCATTTGTATAGTATTATCTTTATCACACTATTTAGGTCATGGTTATCAAAAATTTGCATTAGAAATCAAGGAAAGATTAAAAAATTTGGTGTTTCGTTTAGGTATATTTATTTTTTCTATACGAAAGTAGATTTTGGGGCTTCTATAATCTAGGGCATGTTTCCTTGAAATGTGAAAGAAGTACCTTATCTAAAATAACCTTATTTGCATCTTATTTAATAATATTGTATTATTTGTTACATTATGTATTGTTATTTTAGGTACACAATAAATACACAGCTGATGACTTTGATGAGGATTTACGACAAGTTCTTCGGAGATCTGGATGCAAAGATGAAAAAATAGCATTTATTTTAGATGAATCAAATGTCCTTGACTCCAGCTTTTTAGAGCGCATGAATACTCTTTTAGCTAATGGCGAAGTTCCAGGGCTGTTTGAAGGCGATGAATACACAACATTAATAACTCAATGTAAAGAAGGTGCTCAGCGAGAGGGTTTGATGCTTGACTCTAATGAAGAGTTATACAAGTGGTTTACTGGTCAAGTTATGAAAAATCTTCATGTTGTATTTACAATGAATCCAAGTACTGACGAACTGAAAACAAGAGCTGCTACGTCACCAGCATTATTTAATAGATGTGTTCTTAATTGGTTTGGAGATTGGTCTGATAATGCTTTATTTCAAGTTGGAAAAGAATTTACAAACAGAATTGATCTAGATAACCCTCATTGGAAATGCCCAGATTACTTCCCTTCCTCTTGTTCAATACTTGCTAGCCAAACCACTCACCGTGATGCTGTTATCAACGCTTGTGTATACGTTCATCAAACGCTCCACAAAGCTAATGCTAAATTAATAAAACGGGGTTGTCGAACTATGGCTATAACTCCACGACATTACTTAGATTTTATTAATCATTTCGTTAAATTGTATCAAGAAAAACGCAGTGACTTAGAGGAACAGCAATTACATCTTAATGTCGGTCTAAGTAAAATTGCTGAAACAGTCGAACAGGTTGAAGAAATGCAGAAAAGTTTAGCAGTAAAATCTCAGGTAAGTTTTCATTTAACTTCAATACGATTAAAAAAGTATTAAACATGTTGCCAGCTGTTGCGATGCTTATTTATACAATTTAAAAGTATTATTCGCGTATTTAAGTCAAGCTTATGTCAGTGTATTGACGTTTCACATATAAAAAATAGCTCACAACCTTTATAAGTTTGTTTTTACTGAAGTTAAACTATTTTACAATTTGTTTTTATTCATTGACGTTTCCCGGTTTTTTACGTATACACTTAACTTATCTCTCTTATGCTTATATCTATAGTTCTCCCATGCATGTGAGTCTCTTTTGCGAGCTTTTATTAAAAACTTTTTCTTAGACGTCTCAATTATCTACGCCATTGGATATAATTTTCAGGGTACAACGGTTGTTTCATAAATTCCTCGTCCTTTATAAGATTTTTTGAAGGGATTTGTTCCGTCAACTGTTTCGCTTGACGTCCTAACATTTTAAAACTCTAGGTGACAACCGATGAGCTATCTATGTGCTAGTGTCTCTATCAAAAAAAGCCCCTTGAAGTCTAGACATCATCTAGAAAAATTGATTTACTATCTTACTAATAGAAGAAATGCGTTTTTGGCATCTTAAATGGCAATTTAAATTGAATTAATCATATTTTATGTCTCATAAAAACTTTTACTATTTTTTTTCTTATTGTATGATAGTACTGGTCATCACTTAAAGAAGATTCATGTCAGCTTGATTAAATAGACTATCCATAAAATAGTCGATCTTCACTTTATTGGTCTTTAAGAAACGTTACAGCTGTTTCGGTATTACAGTATCTTATTTCGACATTCGTATAACAAGACTTAACGATATATTATATTATAACACATATTAAATTATAATATATCATTGAGTCTTTTTGTACACACGTCTGAAGAAAGTACAGTGATACCGAAACGACCGTAACGGTTCTTGAAACTCAATAAAGTAAAGATCGGCAATTTTATTGAGAGTCTGCTTATTTATTTAACATTTTTTGTTCTCTTTCCCATTTTTTTTATACTACTTTAACAAGCCAATGGATTTTAATAAGTATTTTCCACCACTACTTTTTTACACGTTATTTTCCTTTTCTCACTATCCACTTTTCCTTTGAAACACTTTTGGTAACTACGTTTTTCAATTCTATGTATTATCCTCTTCATTTCTTGGTAGATAAGCGTATTTTCTTTTTTAAATTTATTTTTACAGTTTTCTGATTTTTCATAAGTTATTTAATCAGTTTCTCCTTAAAATTGTTTTTTTGTTTTGTAGCTTTTTGTTTCACTTCTCGTATTTTCTTATCAGTTCTATTTTCAACTTATCTTACTATTATATAGAGAGACAGCGTTTGTTTGTATGTTCGAGAAAAAATCGCAAAAACTACTGAACCAATCAATCTCAAATTTTGTCAGAAGTTCAACTACAACTTCTAATGTGTCATAGGTTATTTAAATTGATGATAACTTTATTAGAAATGTTTTTAGCATACCCAAGCTACTAGAAAGTTTACTGGAAGGATTTTTCCTAATAAACTATCTGATTCGCTGTACCGAACCTTTTAAGATCCCATAGTGACTTTACCCGATGAGCTGACCAGGTGTTTGCTTTCCTCTAAAAGGAAGCCCCTCTGGAGGTCCAGACATCACTAGATGAATCCTTATTTATTCTTATAAATTAGATAATTGGTTTTACGGTATCCTGGGTAGTTATATTATCGAAAAAGCCCGAGAAAAAACTCGATAATTCTCAACGGGATTCGGATTCACGAGCCCTTGAATTTCTCTGGCTACGAGGCTAGCATGTTATCCACTAATTTCGGAACTCTCGTTACGAGAAACTAAGTATTTTGTTATGAGTCAAATACTGACGCACTGGTTGTACGTCTTGGAATTGTTGAAACGATTCATTACAAATTAGTACTATTATTATCACAAAACGTCTTCTTACTCACAATCAAAAATTTTAATATACTTTTATTTCATTTTAAATAGTTACTACAAATAAAGTACTCGATGACATGGTGAAACATTGAACATTTTTTTTTTAAAGGAACTTCAAGCTAAAAATGAAGCAGCTAACGCCAAGTTAAGACAAATGGTTAAAGATCAACAAGAAGCTGAAAAGAAAAAAGTGCAGAGTCAAGAAATTCAGCATCAATTAGCAATACAAACAATAGCCATAAACCAAAAACGCGATGACGTTATGGCTGATCTAGCACAAGTTGAACCAGCTGTTATTGATGCCCAAAATGGTGAAGTACCAACTTAAATAATTTTACATTTTCGTCTCGTTATATTTTTTTATTTATCTTCAACCTATTTTTCATGGCACATGGAATAATATTGGGTTAAATAATCACTGTTCTTAAATTTAATCAACGAAAACTTAAATGAAAACAAAAGAACATCGTAAATTTGCACGTATGAAACGATAAAGTATGATGTATAACTTTTTATTTTTAATGTACATTTGGAGTAAAAAAAGATAAGATAGATGTTCACTATTGTTTGCTTGCAAAGATATCGAGATTTTCGATGTACGGATCAGCATGCTTTAAAAGTTTCTATGTAGCTGCGGTGCTGTCTTTACATACATTGCGCAGGTTACGTAGTCAGTTTCTTATCAGTACATTCCGGTTTTCACTCATAAAGTATGTTTTTTTTATTAGCAAAAAAATTTGAACGAAGAGTGTTAAGAGTTGATGATTGATTTTTTTTATTTAGTTTAGATTACTGAAAGTGCTAGATTGCTGATAGTGTTATAACAGTATCCGTATACCCATTTATATGAATATTTCTAATTGTACACATCATTGAAACTTTATACCTCACAACTTATTAAAAAATCACACCTTTTCTTAAAAGTTTTCATGTATTAATAACGCTTTATTGATATATAACTTTATCTTGGCACACGGATTAAAAATTTCAAACTTAGGTAATCTCATAGTTTAAAAAATTGAGTTATTGATTCAGTGGAATGATTAACGGTATTTTTTTGCCTTATTTTCTTTGTTTTTAACTGAATGGTTAGTGTAACATTAAAATAGATTTTCACCACTTTTCCAACTTTCCAAATTGTTTAAGATATAATTTTTCTACCAGTATATAATGTGTAAGCTATTCAATAAACTATATGTTCTTATAATTTGACAGAGTATTTAAGTTATTGTCACTTGTTATTGTCACTTGAACCCAGAAAAAAAAAGATTATGAAAAACAGTTGCCACACCCTGATATTTTATGCACTACTAAAACTTATAACAGCATGTAGTAATTATACTATTACTAGTGCACAAATAATATCATGTATAGAAATGGACTACTTCACTCACTAAAGGGTACAAATTTTTATGGTGTAAAATATTTTATAACGTGTTTTTTGTACGTTCTCAGAAAAAAATCACAAGAGGTAAGAGTCGCACAAATTTATTCTTACAGTAATAAAGGTTTTTTTAAGAGTTGAAAGTGGCTAGAAAAAAGAATTATGTTATAGAGTGAAAGGTCGATTATTACCTGTATTTTAAAAATTTTTTTGAAACTTTGAATTTGTAAGTCTGATACTGAAACTGATTGTACTAGCTTCAAAACCGTCAAAAAGTGAAACTAAAATTAAAAAAATAAAAAATTGCGCACACAGTATTATCTTATTCAACTTATTAAAGACAAGTTTACTTTTAACTAAGTCTGAAAAAACCATGCTTACAAAGATTGTTTAGCTTATGTTATAACCATCATAATATAATTTGTCTCTTTGTCATTATTAACTTCAAAGATAAGTTAAAGAGCTTCTTAAAATTTTAAACATGTAACGCTACCTGAAAGTACCTTGGTGGATTTTAACCTGCAAACCTATCCAGTTCTAGGTGGCTCATATAAATTTCCAAGTCAATCCACATGTATTTACCTAAAAATTAAATGTATTAGCTGAAAAATCTATGTTGTTGACCTGAAAAAATTTTGATTTGATGGTGGAGTTATATTTATAAGTTCACTGGGTTATTTTCAGGTGGAACGTTAAATGAATTCGTATAACGTTATAAGCCGAGGACCAAAAAAAAGTCGTGCAACAAAAAAAAATTTTCAATAAAAATTCTAGGGGCTAGCTTAGCTTATTAGATACCAGTTTGTTTCTGACTAAAAATGTTGCTAAAATGCTCATTTTAAAATAAATGGTACATTATGTCACTAAGGCACAAAGTACAAACATGAGCGCCCGAAGGGCGCGGTTGTTGTATGTTAGTATCCGAGTCGCGTATAATGTTTTTCTTATCGAGCAGTTGCACTTTGCACCCTCAGGACAGACTTTGCGTCCTTGTTATCACTTTAGGCCCATGGACAACAACATTTTTTGTGCCCTCTGGGCCCGAAGTACTTTTTTGCCCTAGGGCCTAAAAAGATGTACTGGGCGCAAAGTGGGCCCATGGGCGCAAAATTACACGTTGTACCCTGGGTAAAAAAAACATTATACGTGACTCGGCCACTAACATACAATAACCACGTTCTTCGGGCACTCATGTTAGTACTTTGTGCCCTTGTGACGTAATGTACCATTTGTGGCGTATAAAGAATGCTACAAATTAGGGTATTCTTATTTTTAATATGTTTTTTTTGGGTAAATTTTAGCTCAACGAAAACTAGATGATTTTTTCACAAAACAACAATGACTATTTTTCACAAGGTTTCTATACTATGCTAAACGCAGAAGTAGATATGCTATGGCAATTCCAATACATAGCGATTCCAATTCAGCTCCCCCTCTCCGAAGCGTGCCATTCTCGTGGCGTACTTCTCCTCGCAGCATCCCCTCTTCGTAAATGAATTAGGCTCTCTTTGTAGCCAATGGGCAACCGGGTTTTTCGTTTTTTTGTCACGTTGCTTGAATTTGCGTGCACTGCTTAAATGTGTAAGATCTTGTGCAGCTTATGCATACGGTAGTTATATGCATACATTTTTTGTAAAACCGAGCACATTGCATGATAATGTAGAATGTAGAGTGGTAGAAAAGTTATTGTTAAATATTTTTTATCTTATTTTGTTCAATGAGTTTATTTTAAATTTAAAAAATGTACATATATAAAACTAAACTGACAAAACACGCATGATTTATAAACTGGTTTTGTACAATATCTTATCCTTTAAATGCAATATATTTACACAGCTCTTTATTAGTATTATTATCGTCATCAACATTAATCCATTCCATATTGAAGTAAAACTTCTTTATTCACCTAATATTATGAAGAGCACACATGGATCTGTAGGCTGCGTTGTGAGGAGCACAAGAAGTAACCAATTTTAGAAGTTAAAACAGTAGATTGTCTGCCGAATCAATGACTTTAGAGCCATATCTTTCAAGCCACTTTTGTTTAAGATCTATAATAACAAGTATCTTCAAAACATTTTCAAGATTCTTCCATATTGACGGAAAAATGAAGTATATAAAAAGAAATTCTTTGCGACTATGACAAAAATTACTGTAATGTCTTCGTATTGTCATCAAAATACATGAAAAAACAGTTTTGGGGTCCAATGGTGCTGGCTTTTTTTGTCATTCTACAAATAGTTAAAATTAACCGGATTTTTTTTTCGAATTTCACTTACAATTCTTTTTTAAGCATCGTATTGCAGAAGTATCTAAAGATAAATTGCTCGTTATTTGATTGTCTGTCTGTCAGTACTAGTTAGATTGTCTGAAACCTATTTTTTATGCAATTATTTGACTAAATAGTGCAAAAATCGCTATTTCAAACTCTAATTCTGCAATATTATAAAGTCTCGCATTTCCTTAAATTCCTTAAAACACAGAAGTCGACACCTCTTATGGGTATCTTCCACCACTTGCCATAATTATTTTACTTAAATTCGATTAGATGATCTGAGCCTCACAGTATGGCTAAATCAAATTTATTAAAAACTTACGTATAAAAAGAAAATCTCTTTTTTTAATTTCAATCAAAAATACAAAAATTTATAAACATGTTGTTCAGAAGTATTATTTTCTTTTTTATATTCGGGGTAATCATTCATTTGAGATGAAGTTACATCTGTAAAAAATTTTGGAAAATTTTTCTTATATTTTTGATCAGTTATACAATGACTATGTTCTGTACAAGGTTCCTGAAGCATGCAACTTACCACGGCTGCACGAAAGAGGAGAATAAATATAAGACCGACTAAATTATATTTTATGAGTATATTAAACAGAGTAAATGTACACACAGCAATTAATGGAAGCGAACAAACGTAATCTCAAAATAAAGCAAACAAGATACTTATTACTACGTTGCCGTATATAATTGATTCTAGGATAAGTTGGCGCGAAGTCCCTCAAGAGAAATTAGAAGAAGACTTTATAACTTGGGCCTGTCTTCTTAGAATGACTATTCGACAGGGTACTAAATTAATGTAACACAATTGAAAACTTTCTTCTTAAATACATTAATCAAATCAAAAACAAAGATATATCATTCCCCATGAAGGACCGACGTAGATATGTATGCACGCTGTTAATAGATACATATACACGGAGAGGGGTTTTCACTGATATAACCAATACTTAAAATAGTTAGTACTTCTTTTTAAGGTGCTGGTACGAGTTTTATGACTGATTGTCACTGTATTTTACAGCACTCAGTTGAGAACCAGTATAGCAATACTAAACACGTGAAATTCTCGTGCTGACATCTATGTTTTCCCTGCGTTAGCACGGGCTTTTGCGGTGCCATCGTGAGTACCGAATTTTCAGCCACTCGAGTATAGTCTTTGACCGGTTTGGATTGCCTCCAAACAGTATCAGGAAAAACATTATCCAATATATTTATAAATAATGTAACTTACAAGTCTGGAATGATGATTGTTGCAAATATATTAAAAATGGACCATTTTTTAGAAAAATAGATAAGATTTTTATTGTAAAAAAAGCATATATTTCATGTACACACCATTTAAGGTGGTTCTTCACGATGGTGCCGTATCAAAGCGACACGGGACCCTGTGGTTTTCTAATTTTCGATTAGCGTATTTTTTGCAACATAAAATATGTTGTACTGGCACTTGACTATAACATTATTGCATTTACATACAAATAAACATGCTAATAAAGTCAGAGTAAGAGTTATGAAAAATTATTTTTTTGACGCAAGGTTCTGAAAATGGCATGTACGCTCCTACTCAAGCAGACGTTGCCGCCGATTTCTGTATGATCGATAACTGATTACGTTTACGATTTCCCTGATTAGCCCATACTTTT